GGGGGGAGGAGACAACACAGGGCACCAGGTGAACATAATCAGGAGTAACAGAAAGAACGGGAGGGGGAACACTTTTCAAAATAAAAGACATGTGCAATATACAAAGCCCGAAGCCGTCAGTCCACGGTGACGAAGCCATCTTCGTCACAATAACGGCCCGTCCACACTACAGCGTCGACAGCGTAGACAGCGTCGACAGCGTCGACAGCTTCAATCTGCCCATTCACTTTGAATGGGGTGACGTCACGTTGCCGCTTTTTTTCGCCAAACTGAATTGTGGGTAGCATAGCGGTCCGTCTCCGCCGGAGATGCCGGAGTAGCCAGCGCCAGCCAATCAAATCCCGTTTCTGAAAATCTGACAGCTCAAGCCGTAGCCAATCAAACCGCGTCTAAGCTGGGAGAGATATCCCGCCGTTCATTTCTATATTTCAAAAAAAGATGGAGGAGAAACTAATTATCGCCGTAGCAAATCACCCGGTTTTGTATGACCAGACCCTCTTCACCTACCGGGATACAAACCGGAGGAACCAGGCATGGAGGGAGGTGGCAGAGACAGTGGGTGAAACTGGTAGCTTTTCGCCTGTTTGGGGAGTTTATATATATATATATATATATATATATATATATATATATATATATATATATATATATTGCTCCCATAAAATCCCCGGGGGTTTTTGCTTTGTATGTAGGGGACGGGAGATTCATGTGATTGGTTGTTGGTCACATTGCTTGAATAACATCCCCAAGCTTCAGACACGCCCAGCTCCAAGCTTTTTTTGAAGCTGTAGTGTGGACGCTCCGTAACTGTGAACTGATTGGACAGTTACAGAAGACTTTGATCGTCATTTTAAGTGACGTTGTTGTTGTTGTTGTTGTTGTTGCAGTTCCAGCCATTGGCCTACTTATTATCTTATCTAAGTTAATTGAAGTCGTTTTTTATGCTTTTATTTTGAAGGCAGTGTTGGGTGATTCGGTGATAATTGAAGAGACAGGTGGTGGTGGGATTAGCGCACTAGCACTAGCATATGTTTTGTTACCAGGGAAAACACAGGTCAAACGAACCATTGTTCTTTATATGTTGAATGACTGGAATATAAGAGAATAAATGAACAAAGACGACGTTCTTGAACAATGAACATCTCCCTGCGTAAGATTAGCTGTTTGTTGCCCGAGCAGCTGTTTTATTGTGAGTAAAAATGTTCTGTTCGATTTCTGTATTTGACTGCTCTGAGTGTGTAATGAGGCTGTTGTGTGTGTTCTGTCAGTGGACGAGGGGGCGGTGTTCGCCATGTGTATGACCAGCCAGGGAGACCAGGCCGTGCTCAACCAGTGGGTCTCCGGCCTCCAGCAGAACAACCCCATCCTGGGCCGGGTCCCCACTCTGTTCCGCCTGGAGCAGGGGCCCCGCGAACTGCAGGGGGCCCATAAAACAAAGTCAGACCACCAGCACAGGCCGGACCCCAGACCCAGAGAGGAAGAAGAAGATGAGGTATCAGTGGAGGAAGAGCTGAGGAGAAGCCAGGAGATGAAGCAGTGAGCAGACTAACGACTGACAGAAGACTCATAACACACTGTATATGTGGGTTTATTTATCAAGATATGTCCATGCTGGGGAGGGGCTGGATCAGATTTCAACAGGGGTACACCAAGTCAGCAGTAAATAAATATAATTTAAAAGAAATGTGTGATGATTTGTTGATTTCAAATCATCTTAAGCAGTGGTTCCCAGGATGATGATATCAAAGTAACAAAATACAGATTTCACATACACAAAGGTTTTTTCATGGTTTTCTTGTGATTTACTATTAAATAAATAATAAAATAAATAGAATTTTTTTCTTCTTGTTTCCCCCATATATCCATTCAACTCTCAAACCGGGGCCAACGTGATGCTGTCCTTTCAGGTTTTATTGGAAAATCATGTTTACTAAGTAGGAAAATCTGCATGGAGGAAGGCAAGACTTCTCAAAACAGCTTTATTTCTTAGTGATCAAATCCTGTCACCATCATAACTACGGTATCAGCTATGTCTTGTTTTCATCGGGCTGAAGTCTTGTTCTCAGTCTGCAGTAGGTGCTTTCATGTTTCTTTTTTTACCAAGAAGAGGCATCCGGATCTCTGGAGCCGTGCCAGAGGGATCTCTTCAAAATGCAGACTTGTGTTTCCAATAACTTCATAAAAGAGCAATATTACATCTTTGAATAATTGTTTTTACAGTATTAGAAGAGTTTTAAGGCCAGACCTCAGAAAAAAATTATTAAAGGAAGATGTCTTTTATTTTACTTTGCATTCTAAATTCTAAAAGTTGTGAATGCTGTTGACATTTTGAAAATGAACTTTAAAAAAATGAAGCTTTTGAAAATTCGACATTATCAAAAAGGTCAAATAAATTATAATCATCTTTTTGTTTATTTACTTTCTGACGGGCTCTAATAGTCTTTCATACATATCTATACGTTGTGCATTCTTCAATCAATCTAATGCAGGGTAAGCTTTAAGTTTCTTTTTGCATATTGGAAATAACCAAGGTCTTTAAAAATGATAGAAAATTGATATACACAAATATATCAATAATTAAACATAGTGATCGTAAAATACAGCAAGGTAGTACTGGAAACAGAAAGTCGGATTCAATGTAGAAATGTGATAATTTAAAAAAGCGTGCAGATTAAGCCCAAAGGTAGAAAAGGTTTATTACTGAAAAGGCATCGAAACATTCCCTTTGAACTGGTAAACAAGTCAGAGTTACATTCTCAGAAGGTAAAATAGCTCGGTCTCTTCCAGCTGTTCACACTGTGGTGCAGCTGTGCAGGCAGTGTCTGTCTCCAAGCATCACACACCATACAGCTTTGTGCTCAAACAGAACGTCGTCTTAGAAAAACGTGGGAATGCATTCCAGAGTTCATATACAACCGTCCATCTTTTTACTACTCATGCAGGAAAGCCTCTGGATCCTTTAGACTCACAAATGAGAAACCTCTCTAACATGGAACTCTCTACAGATATGGATAATGATTCATCAATACTCATTATATAAGAGGAGATTAAAATTGCTCAAACAATTGTAAACAGCAAAAAACATTGGCATCTCAACCACTTTAGTATTTTGTGTATTTACAGTACAGATGTTTTACATGGTGAAGCTCATATGAACGGCAGGTGTTTTTTTTTAAAGAATTGAGAATAGATTAAAAGAAAAATCAATAAAAAGACATACAACATAACGTATGCAAGGGTTTGAAGAACAGCATGGTTATCACATACAAAGTCATGGAACAGTTCCAGACACCCATGCACAATCCAATAACTAACAAGTCTAGAACAGTTTGGGACCTGAATGCAACCTGACAAAAGTGCAAAATAAACGTTCTATTTGAACATTTAAAAAAAAAAAAGATTAACTGTAGTATAAATGTTAAACTCTTGTGCTGAATGTGTGTGACGCAGTTTATTTTCTCATAGCTGGCTGACCCAGGGGAGGGGGATTAAATGTACTGTATAATGCCTTAAAACCAGCATGTGTTTGCGTTGTTGAAATAGACTTTTGTACTCATTTAATCAGTTGAATTGCTCAACATGTAACATGTCTGATGTAAACTATCCCTACATGTAATTAGTGTAATGTCCCAAAGTTTGCTTATGGCTGAAAAATGTATGCGAAGTACAGCCGACGAAAAAAAGATGTGATAGTCGTGACTTATGTTCTAAAACCTTCAAACCAGACAACAGTGGCTGCGTGTAAACCAAAAGAATAACGGGCTTTATTGTCTAGTTTGCTCTAAATTGAATCATACTTGACTAAATAAACATCATGCTCAGTAGCAACAAGTTGTAACTAGCAATTGAGCCAATAAACTTGTTAGGAAAACATTTACTGAGGTCATAAATCAAGTCATAAATTGGTCATTTTCTCATAGACTTCTATACAATCTGACAGTGAAGTCGCCCCCTGCTGGCCATTAGAGAGGAGGCAGGTTTAAGGCACTTCTGCAATGGGTGCTCTTTTCAGATTTGAAGGGTTTCTGCCTTTTGCAAACCATGTGGGGAAATGGTAACATTAGTGTTTACCTGTTATCCAGCAGCAGGTAGCATTAACAGGGTCTAACAGCTGATGAGGACAGAAAACAATTTGAAACGTACTGCTGTCTATCTATCCATCCATCTATCCATCCATCTTCTCCCGCTTATCCGTGGTCGGGTCGCGTGGGTAGCAGTTCCAGCAGAGAGCCCCAAACTTTATTTTCCCTGACGACATCAACCAGCTCTGACTGGGGGATCCCAAGGCGCTCCCAGGCCAGCAAAGAGATATAATCCCTCCACCTGGTCCTAGGTCTACCCCTTGGTCTCTTCCCAGCTGGACATGCCTGGAATACCTCCCTAGGGAGGCGCCCAGGTGGCATCCTAACTAGGTGCCCGAACCACCTCAACTGGCTCCTTTCGACGCGAAGGAGGAGCGGCTCAACTCCGAGTCCCTCCCTGATGACCGAACTTCTCACCTTATCCCTAAGGGAGACACCAGCAACCCTGCGGAGAAAACCCATCTCGGCCGCTTGTATCCGCGATCTCGTTCTTTCGGTCATGACCCATCCTTCATGACCATAGGTGAGGGTCGGAACGAAAATGGCCCGGTAGACAGAGAGCTTTGCCTTCTGGCTCAGCTCCCTTTTCGTCACAACGGTGCGGTAAAGCGACTGCAGTACCGCTCCCGCTGCTCCGATTCTCCGGCCCATCTCACGCTCCATTGTTCCCTCACTCGAGAACAAGACCCCGAGATACTTGAACTCCTTCACTTGGGGTAAGGACTCATTCCCTATTTGGAGTGGACAGTCCATCGGTTTCCTGCTGAGAACCATGGCCTCAGATTTGGAGGTGCTGATCCTCATCCCAGCCGCTTCACACTCGGTTGCGAACCGATCCAGTGAGTGCTGAAGGTCGCAGACCGATGAAGCCATTAGAACCACATCATCTGCAAAAAGCAGTGGTGCAATCCTTAGTCCACCGAACTGCAGACCCCCTCCCCCACGACTACGCCTCGAAATCCGATCCATGTATATTACAAACAGGATTGGTGACAAAGCGCAGCCCTGGCGGAGGCCAACCCTCACCGGAAATGGGTCCGACTTACTGCCGAGGACCCGGACACAGCTCTCGCTTTGGGAGTACAGAAATTGGATGGCCCTGAGTAGAGACCCCCTCACCCCATACTCCCGCAGCACCTCCCACAGTAACTCCCTGGGAACTCGGTCATACGCCTTCTCCAAGTCTACAAAACACATGTAGACCGGATAAGCGTACTCCCAGGCCCCCTCCAGGATCCTTGCGAGAGTAAAAAGCTGATCCGTCGTTCCACGACCAGGACGGAATCCGCATTGTTCCTCCTCAATCTGAGGTTCGATAATCGGCCTGACCCTCCTTTCGAGTACCTTAGAGTAAACTTTCCCGGGGAGGCTGAGTAGTGTGATGCCTCTGTAATTGGCACACAAAAAAAAGGGAACCACCACCCCGGTCTGCCACTCCTTCGGTAAACAGTACTGCTGTCTAAAAGATTGAAAATAGTTCGTTTGATTTTCTCCATGACCGATGCACAGTTACATCCCGGAGTGCTGATGTTTGTCACCAATACACCAAATACATGTTAATGGTTTTATTGTTGAAAGGGAAACACAGTGTACCTCACTTATAGATTGTTTCTTACTTGGGGTGGTTTACATTTGTTCAGGGCACCTCATGATGTCTTTTAAACGACAGGCTCAGGAGAATCTTGGAGAATGAAAGAAAATCGCTATGACCCTGTATTTGCTACTTTTATTCTCCTATAATGTTCTAAATACTTTATCAAAAGCATCTTTGTCATGTAATAAGTCTGTGGGAAACACCCAATGCTTAAAGGTGTTGAGGTTTACAAATGGCAGAAATTGAAGGAACGATTGCAGATTTCAGGAAGTAGTCATTCTGACCTGTGTGTTTTTTGTGTTGTTGACATTGTTTCCCAGAATGTTGGACTTCTCTTGAATATTATCTCAAAATCTCAGCTGTCATAACTTCAATGTAACAAATGTTCATACTTTCTTTCATAAAGCCACCTCACAACCCCTCTAGGAAATGAGGTAAAGCTGCCTTCAGGGTTGGATGTTCCCATACAGCATTATGTCAAGATGATTTTCTATGAAGGTAAGAAGAAATGATTTGAAATAAATAAGACAGTGTGAGTCTTTTCTCTCTCCTGGTTGGTGGTTTTCCGTTGTGTCCTGCAGTCATATCCTCCTCGCTTCAGCTCCTGCGTGCTTCTGCAAAACAAGTCGGACCGGTTCAGCAAACAGTTTTACTGCTATACAGGACTCGTGACTTCCATACTAAAGGTCATGAAAGTATTAAGAAGTTTCAAATGAGAAGAAAGTACGGAGCCCCCTAGGGGACATGGAGAAGAAAAAAATAATAATTTGAAAAAAAAATAAAAAATAATGTTTTGCGAGATATCGCAAAACCCCTTTGCGAGATCTCGCAAAACCCCTTTGCGAGATCTCGCAAAACCCCTTTGCGAGATCTCGCAAAACCCCTTTGCGAGATCTCGCAAAACCCCTTTGCGAGATCTCGCAAAACCCCTTTGCGAGATCTCGCAATACTTTTCATTTAGTACTTCCTGGTCAGTTCGGCTGCTACGGCAACACAGAAACCACAACAATGGAGTGGTTCATCGATTTTACTTTGAGCTTGGCCTTAAATATAAAGATATAACATCAGTGATTGGCAATAGGCACAGGTTTCACACATAGACTGTATATATAAAGGGTTTCACATAAGTGAAGACACCTCAAGAGAACACTCAGAGCGAGGGGACATGCACGTTCCTCTGAGCTGAGTTATTGACAGATTCGAATTATCAATAACGGATCAATAACTCATGAACATAACGTTGTAAAAATACAAACAACATGACTTTACAATCATAGCAAGGTAGACAACGAGCTACAGAGTCGTTTTTATCAGAACAGTTCGATACGCGCCGTCATCCGAGCTAAACATCAATAATTTGTCACAATCCGCAGCTGGAGGAGGGAGAGGAGTGCTTAGGGACCGTCTACAAACTGCAACGGGGTTTTGCGAGATCTCGCAAAAGTATTGCGAGTAGTATTGCGAGTAGATCTCGCAAAAGTATTGCGAGATCTCGCAAAAGTATTGCGAGATCTCGCAAAGGTTTTGCGAGATCTCGCAAAGGTTTTTATTTTTATTCAAATAATTTTTTTCTTCTTCTCCATGTCCCCTAGGGGGCTCCGTAAGAAAGAACATGTTCAGCTCATTAGAATAATATTATTTGTTTCTCTAACGCAGACTGAGAGGGAATTATCATCTGTGACAAAGGTAGCTAACATTAGCTAATGTAAACTACTGCTCATACACAGGGGTTACATTGAGATGTATTATGTGGGTGGGCTCTGCTGTGTCAAGGACAATATTGAATTATACACACACTTTTACAGATATACAAATATTTATATAATAATATAAATGCCATTGTCCTCCCTGTAGGACAGCTTCCAGAGAATGGGACCAGTGCCTTTATGTACAGGCAGAATGGAAACACCCGTATCCGCTGCTTGGGGACCAGACCCCAAAACATGGGGCTGTAGGCGGCCCCTTTTTAATTGAATCCCTAGTCCTAGAAGACCCAGTTAGGCTGTAGCAGCAAAATCCCTGAGTGTATTAAATGAGGAAATAAAGGTTATTTTATGGTCTGTGCAGAGTGCCTTTTTTCTTTTCTTTCTCGCCATATTTTATGACGTCATTGCCCATAGAAAAAAGGGCGAAGGTTGATATTTTTGAGTAAGAAATACAACTGTGGAGTAGAACTATAAAGAAGCATACAATAAAAATACTCAAAGTACAAGCCCCAACAATGGTACTTAAGTACAGTACTGCAGTAGATGTACTTCACTCTGGCGGCTGTACCTGTCAGTCGGCGTTGTGCTGCTGCAGCTGGCTGGTGAAGAAGCGCTCTCTCCGGGACACCTGCTCGTCCCAGGCCTCCAGGATCTGCCGCTGCTCCCCAGGCTCCAGGCTTAGGGTGTGGGGGTGGGCCTCGTCGATGTGGGCCCTCACCCCCTCCAGGCTGTGGGAGTACTGCAGCTCCCCGCACACCATGCACACCAGCAGCTGGTTCAGAGGGTCGTGGTCCATGAGGTAGCGGTTCCTCCACACGGCGTCAGAGACCGGACCCTCCTCTTCATCCTGATCATAGTCTGCAAACAGAAGATCTGACTCATCTGAGGAGAGGAAGGAAACACAATTCCCCATTTGAATGAGCACTCTCAGGAAGAAATTCATAATAGTAGAAAAACCACACAATGTTGTACTTCATCACTGCAGAGACAGTTTTAGATACTGTGTATACGATCAGCTACTGACTCGTTATTATTAGAAGTCACTGGTGTAAAGTAAGTAGATTTACTCAAGTGCTGTATTTAACTACAGTTATGAGGTATTTGTACTTTACTTGAGTATCTGCACAATGACTACTTTTACTTTTGGTACTTTAACTATATTTTTATGATAATACTTTCCTATTTTTACTTGAGTAACATTTTTGAATGCAGGTCTTTTACTGTAACAGAGTATTCCTACACTCTGGTACTTATTGTACTTAAGTACAAAATCTGAGTACTTCTACTTTTACTTAAGTACAAGATCTGAGTACTTTTACTTAAGTACTTCTTCTCCCGGAAGAAGTACTTTGCTTTAGTACAATGTTGAGGAAACTGAAAAAACTGAACAGTTGACTTGAATTCAATGTCAAAAGATCACATAACTGTATTAAGTTAGTGGAAAGCAATAATATTCAATTCAATTAAAAATATTATGTTCAACTTAATATATTTGCTTTCAACTAACCTAATACAGTTACTTGAATTGTATTGACATTATACATTTAATCAAAGTCAACATTTCAGTTTTTTCAGCACTCGTGTTAAAATTGTATTTACTTGATGACATTACTGGAGTAATTTCACTTTGCTTTCACCTCTCTGCATTACTCTCAGTTCACAGGGACAGAGTTGATACGTTACCTTCGGCTGGAGCTGAGAAGCCGGAGAATGAAAAGGATGCTGGGTCGGTGTCCTTTGACGTGCTTTAAAGAGAGAAACATTACATTCATCATCACATCGAGCTGGCATCTAAACTCTTTTGAAAAACATAGATCAAGTAATACAAACCTCATGAAATGTTCCGACTCCTCAGAGGAGCTCACCCACTGACCACAACTCTGCAGGGAACATCAGAACATCAGGGTTTGAACAAAAACAATTCAGATTGTAATGAACTCATCTTTGGCCCCTGGTAGACCCTCACCCTATGCAGACTGTTGAGATCTTGTGCTATACACCTGTAATGTACAATATATACACTTTGTTCTGGAAATTCCACTGAGCAACAACAACCATCATTATGTTTGAGTGCAAAACATAATTGTTATAATATCTCAAACCTTAATATGTCCACTTAGCTATTTGAATGCTGTTACTCATTTGGAGAAGTACTTATTTGTCTTTATTTAAAACATTTTATTGCTAATGTGTGCTTTTGTCTATATTTAACATATTAGCTACTTTATTAATGCTTGCCTTGCTATAAGATGAGATCTCATTGATTGATCCCAATTTGGGATCGTTTCCATCACAACAGCATGTAGATAAGACAGTGCACATGAATGAGAAGTAAATACAAAATAACGAAAAAATAAATAAGCAGTAAACTAAATATGCAAAACATGAATATATACATGTCAATAATGAAGGAATTAATATCTATAGAGTGTATATGTATTGAATACACAATATAATATACACATACACAGAATACTTGTCCAGCCTATCAACCTCCCAAAATGTAAAAATGTAATACAATTCAGTGTTTCCCCCAGGATGGAGTCATAGCAGCTAAGGCACGTGGGCCCAGCATAATGTGAGCGCGGAGCGCATGGAATTTTTTAGTGTGTGCGCGTGCGAAGTGCGCCCCGCCAATTTGTTTCTATGTGTCAGCACAAGAAAGGCTCTTGAGGCCTAGTACCAGGGCCGGTTCTAGCTAATTTGCTGCTCTAGGCGAGATTTTATATATAAAGAATAAATGAAAAATCTCTACAAAAGACAAATACACTACAAAAAACAGAAACTTGTTGACATAAGTAATATACGTCAAAATGGCTTCAAATGTATTCAGTATTGTATGAGCTTGTTTTAATTGGGGGGTGGACGTCACATCCTCTAGGGGGGTCTGGGGGTATGCCCCCCCTGGTAAGATTTTTTTTTAACATTTTAAAGTAAAATGCTTCAATCTGGTGCACTTTGAGCACACAATTACTAGAGACCTGATCTACGGGGTACAACTCTAAACACCCATATGAAAAAGATCGGTTTACATTTTAATAATCAAATAAGTATGTGAACATAACCAATAACCTACCATAGCCAATAACAAATACATTTCACTTATTTTATTTTTGTTGTTCATTCATATCTTATTTGACCTAGTTAACATTTATTTATGCATATTTTTGTATCTCTCCAACTTTAAACAATATTTTTGGTTTACTGTCCTATAGTATACATTGGAATGATTTCAAACCTGTTATTATTTATCCTAATAATTATAAAGGAGTGCCTTGGAAATATGTGTTTACATAATTTGTGGTCAAAACGTTTGAGACCCACTGAGATAACTTAGACTAAAATGAACTATCTAAACACTCAGAGAGTCCTTTACCTCACTGAGCCTCTCAGTCTGACAGGAGAGCTCTCCTCCACCCTGGCTGTAGAAACATCTACTTCTTATATCCGTTAGCGCAGCTAGCACCAGATTCTAATAACAACAGCGCCGGTACCGGTGCGCCCGCCCTATCTCTCTCTCTCTCTCTATCTCTCTCTCTCTATCTCTCTCTCTCTCTCCCTCCCATGCTCTCACTTTGGCTGTGAGCTGCAGGCGCCTGATAAGCCAACATCCCCCACTTTCATCACTTACAGCGCTCATCCTACAGGGCAAATGAAAAGTGTAACCGGGGTGAAAAGGGTGTTACATTTACTTAATTATGAATGTTGTTACATCAAGGCCGAAAATTAGGATGAGCACCAACGGTCAAAAATGTTTTTTCGCTACCAGCGCAGCGCCCCCCAGATCTGGTGCCCTATACCAAAAATCGGCCCTGCCTAGTACATACAGTGGCAATGTCTCAACATTTAGCAAAAATACACCTTTATTGAACATACAGTAACACAAATACTACAAATCCACATAACAAACAATCAAAAACGAAAAAGGGTCGCCAAATTTTGTTTTGTTTTTTTGGGTACCTGGCTGGCGCCCCCTAGCAGCGGCGCGCATATTTCAGCAGCGGCGCTGCGCCGCCACTATTTGTATATAGGGGAAACACTGCAATTGACATATATCACTTTTGAAGTGAGGCTGATTCATCATTCATCATGACTCTGATTTGTTCCTCACCATTTCAAATGTATAATTCAGTTTGATAAACACCTGAGCAGCTTTTACCTGTGTGTGCAGATCCTGGGCAGGCAGGATGGACCTCATGTGGTTGGGGGTTCTCCACCCCTTCTCCCGGATGGCCTTCCTGGCTCTCTGCTCCTTCTTCTTTACCCTCCAGTACTCCCTCTTCCTCCTCAGGAAGTCTTCCTCAGACTCCCCTGGGATGGCCTTTGGTGTGGCGCTCTGAAGCTGAGCACAAGGGATTTTTATTGGACTGGAACTCGGAGTGTGGGGGGGTTCAATAGGTTGCAGGTTGATGCTGGATAGTGGGTTCTCTGGGGGCTTCAGAGGAGGCAGGAAGGGGGGTTTGTGTACACCTGTGCAAGTTGACGTCCACTTTTGTGTCATGCCTTGCTGATTCTCGTGATCTCCTTGATGCGTGGACACCATCTGCCCAGTGTCCATGTGGTTCTGCTGGGTCCTGGGGGAGCGGGAGGCAGGGGGGACGGGCAGCTTGACCTGGATCCTGTCAGGGAACCGGTTAGCGCTACATGTTGTAGGGCTAACCACCAGGAGAGTGGGGACACCACTCACTGCAGACAGAGAGGAGGGGGGGCGCCGGGGCTGGAGGGGTCGCTTCACTGGAGGATGCCCCCCCTTCACAGTGTTGATGATGAGCCGACCTGGAGCCTGAAGACAAAAACACAACACAGGTCAACACAATGAAATAGAACATTTGATATTCAGTATTCTATGTGGTTCATGTCCTTTCTACTGTAGATATTAAATAACTGTCCCATGCTGGAGAGGTATTTATTTTGGTCTTTAATGTTTTGTGTGGCTTCTGGGAAATATCTATAGGGTATAGAAGAATCAGAAACCAAGTTCATATCTTTGATGAAAGATGGGAAAATGGGTAAGACATAGAACACAACACTTTTGAGGAGACAATCAATGTAGTATGAGTATTAATGTAGTATCCATTATGTGCAGAGCTGGGAGAAGTACTCAGATCGTGTTCTTGTAGTAAAAGTAGAAGTACCAGAGTGTAGAAATACTCTGTTTCAAGTGAAAGATTGGATTGCAAATGTTACTCAAGTAAAAGTACAAAAGTATAAGCATCAAAATATAGTTAAAGTACTTACTCCAGGTGTAACTGAAGTGTGATTTAAGAGATGATTATATTTTGTTTTGTATGCCAATCATTTCATAAAATGCAAATAAAACCCAAGCAGACAATAATCTTTCTGAAACATGCACATGTGTGTATGCCTTTCTCGTTCAGTGGGCCCCTCTTAGTCGACTCCTCTCTATTTTTGCTGTACAAATGTCAAATGCCAGCCAGAGGTTTGCAGTGTACTGACTCGGGTTACAGCTGGAGAGTGAACGAGGAACCTTGAACTCTGCATGGGTTCCAACCACTCTCTCAGCATTGATAGTGATATCTTTAGTATCAACGGATGCTTTGAATTCAGTCATCAGAATGAATCATCTAAAGGGATTATAAACAGACCTTTGTGGCTTTATTTTAACACCGTCGCTCTAGCTATAAAGGTTTTGACAGGTTTTAGATGCCTCAGTGCATTGATGGTTAAAGGGGACATTAGAAAAAGGGTTCTTGTTCTTGGACACCAGCGTATTATCCCAGCAAAATAAAAGTTATTGCTCAAAAACTAACCAGCCAAAAGTGCAGCTAACATCTGCTCCACATGTGTCTTTCCTCACAGCTAAAACCTGTTCCTGGGGTTCAGCCTGGCCTGAATGGGTAACAACTACTGCACTGGCCCGCAAATAGGAAATACAGCGTCCCTTAAGGTGGGGTAGGTCATTTTGGAAATACACAGCCGGAACAAATCTGCCACTTCCTTACAGAGCCCCTCCTCCAACACACACGAATGCGCACATGACCAATGAGGGCACGAGATAAGTTTGTGCACAGATGGAAGGCTGACAGGCAGGTAGGCCATCCAGTTACTTTAGCCGGCTCAGATGATTGGTCGTGCTTTTTACAGCACCACGGCTTCCAGAGATGAAATGTGTTTGTGTTTATTGTCAAAGCATTTAATGTATTCATTGCTATCGGGATGTGAAGAGCATTCCATGGAATATAACAACAAGTGTATCTCGAGCCGGTTTCTCAAACGTACCTACCCCACCTTTAAACAAAGGCTAATTAGCATACTGTTAGCATGTGTTAGCATTAGGATTCAAAGATGACATTTCCTATGACTGAGCCAACAGCCTAACAAATATGTTTTACTGCTGTCAAACAGAGATTGTGATGGAACAAAATAAGCAAGGTGTACAGATCCCTGATGTTACAGTAGGTAACTGAGTACATTTACTAAGTATTATAAGTGTAATCTTTTGACATACTTGTCCTTTACTGGTGTTTGACTGTATGTACCCATGTATATATGTGTATATATATATGTCAATCAACAAGTAAAGCAGATTAATAATAACAATTATTATTATTAATAATAATAATTTATAGATTATAAATAAATAATTTAGGGACAAGGGGGTGAGATTAAATAAATTGTACTTCTTCTCACTCCTTGTCGAACACTAGATGTGGGACTGTTTATGTTGCTAATGCTGTTGTTGTAAATGTCACTTTGTTTTCTCTGACATGACTATGCACCGCAAAAAAAAGTGTTTTGTAAATTATTTATTTTACTTGTTCGAAATAAATGTATCAATCAATCAAATGTGTATTTATATATTTACCTCAGCCACAACGCAGACTCTATGCATTACATTAATGCACACAATGTGTAAATATTGCTAACTGCACATATTTCATACTCTATCATTTATTGCATTCTATTTCGATATAAATTACTGCTTTATTTTATTGCTATCTTACTATATTTTTATTACAGTGTTCTTAATATAGTTTGCTATCTGTGTACTTTTTAAAATGTTTGTTTTATATGTTATGTCTGCACCACGACACCAAGTCAGATTCCCCGTACCTTTCTGATTCTGAAGCTACTTTATACTTCTACTCCACTACAATTAAGAGGCTAATATCGGACTTTTCACTCCACTACATGTATTTCACCCTCACAGTTACTTTGTACAACACATGATATGAAGTAATGCAGTACTGGAATACTAATCCACGCAGTATTTCAAGTATTTAAATGTGGTCCACTCTGACCAACTACAACACTAAAATATTCTTACATGTTTAAAAACAGGATAATATAAAAAGTATAATACTGGTAAATGATCCATTCTGCATTCGGAGTACATACTTGTACATTTAGCTCATAATACTTACGTTCTTTATTATATTCTGAAATAAGCCATTCTGTAGAATGGAGTACTTTCCCTATTTGTACTTGAAGTATATTTGAATACTTATACTTTTGTATTTTTACTAAAAGGACAATTTTGAAGTTAGGACTTTTACTTGTAGTGTAGTACTTTAAGACCATCGTATTTGTAATTTTACTCAAGTAAAGGATCTGAGTCATTCTTCCAACACTTGTAACTGACTGAACAAACCAACATCAATGTGTTTGTTGTTGACATGTTAGTGTCATGCATGTTAGGAAAACGAAAAGAGTAGACAACTACAATTCATCTCAGCTACTTGTACTTTACCCAGTCATTTTCATTTTATACAACTTTATACTTCTACTCTACTTCATTTTGGAAGCAAATATTGTATTTTTTACTCAATACATTTATATACTAGTTACTTTATCAATTCAGATTTTACACACAACTCCTATGAAAAACTTTAACAAGGTAATTATTTGTTATAGATTAAACCATCCAACATTATATTTAGCTAAATAATTCATAACTAAAACAATGAGTTGGCTAACAGACAGCAATTCTGCCAAAACGTTTTGTCTTTCAAAAAATATTTCACAGTTCCAGATTCTTAAATGTGAAGATTTGCTGCTTTTGCTTTAAAATATAAAAAATATTTTAATATTTTATGAGCTTTTTCTGTAATGAGTACTTTTACAGCTAATAATTTAGGTAAATGTTCCTTATCGTACTTAAATACTTTTAATTAAAACCATTCCTGATGCAGTACTTTGACTTGAAATTAAGTATTTTTACAGTGTGGTAAAAAGCGAAATACTTTTTCCGCAATCGAATGTCAGCTCCATGTTGCAAAGGGTACACAATGACCATTATTTCCATGTGTCTCATTACCTGAATGTGTTTGGGTCGACTGCTGCATTCTGCCTGTCTCTCTCTCTGCCTGGCTCTTTGCCTGGCCCTCTGCTGCCTCTTAATCAGCTTCCAGTACTCCCTCTTCCTCTGCAGGCTCATCATCCCACTATGCTCGGGCCCCACGCTGCAGTATCCTTCAGCTGACGGGGAGTTTTGGCCTTCTTCTTTAATTTGTTGTTCACAGTGTTGTTGCTGTGGTTGCAGTTGAACCATGGGTAGGTGGTGTAGCTTTGGTGGCTCTGGGGAACAGCTGCTTTCATGGCTTTCTGTTTTGGTGGGAAGACTCAGGGTTCTGTGTGGTGAAGATGGGATATCAGAGGCTTCCACTGAGGGGTCCAATATGACATTTGAAGTGGTTTGGGATGAGTGCTCACAGGTGGGATTCAGGACTACCTCGTTAGAGTTGGGAGGATGTGGAAGTGTGTCGCTACTTTGGGGTGCGTCTTTGAGATGAGGGCTTTGTGACCCCGCTGGTACCAAAGCATCGCTATCTGGCTGCCAGCTTTTTATCTCCAATGTCAAATCAGCAGCAATGGGAGCCCCCTCATTCTGGGGTAAGGTGGGCTCCATCTCTTGCTGTGAGGCCTCCTCCTTTGACTCTATTTTAATGTGGGTCACTGTGCTCAGGGATTCTTCCAGGAGTTTCTTCATGGAGGCCACGGCTAGCAGAGTGGTAGCCTGGCTGTCTGAACTCAGAGCTGGGTCAGGCTCCGGCTGAGGCGCTGGAGGTGGTGGTGGGGAGGTGGGGGGGCTGATTTCTGGACAGATGGCATGTTCTGGTTGAGAATTTAGGTCAACTGCTGGCACAGGCTCAGACTCTTGTTTTATCTCATTTGCATTTGGCGTAATAGGCACACTGTTGTTGGGGAGAGATTGTGCGTTTCCTGTGAGACTCCCACCTTGTGTGGCAGTAGTTTCTGCTGCTGGCTTCTGGGCCCTCCTCCTCTGTAAGGCTTCCGTGGCCCTGGCATGTAAGACCTCCTGCTTCAGTCGAGCTGCCCTATGCTCTCGTTTCTTTATCCTCCAGTACTCCCTCTTTTTAGCCATCCTCTCCTCCTCTGTTAGCGCTGGATCCAGAGAGAGCGCGGACAGAGACACCGCACTATTCGAGACGGTCATTTTCATGACACAGCCACCGAGGTTAGACCCTGCTGTCGGTCCTCCAGTAACGGTGTTTTGAGAGGTTTGAGGACGAGTGAGTCTGATCTGACTAACAGTTGTGCTTTCAAGTTGAGTCCATGGTCTGATTGACAGTAGTCTCGGAGGCGTGTTGACCGACTGTCCAGCAGGAGGAAAAGTGACTCTTACCTGAGTAGGGCGAGGTGGAGGGGGGGGCTGGTTTACACGAATGGGTGTGGTGCCTGAGATGGGTGTATTATTAGCTTCTTCTTTACCTATACGTGCTGCAGTGTTGTGATCCGTAGAAACCTGGGGAATGTTAATGCTCAGTGTCCCGTCCTCTTTGATGAACCCTCCAATGGTCTCAGAGGCGTTGGTCAGGATGCTTCCTCCCGATTGGGCCATGGCTCTGGACCTCCTTATCTCCTCTAGGATGTCCTGGTAACGCTTCACTCTTCGCATCAGAGAGTCCTTCTCCATCAAACGACCCCTCACTTCCATTGACAGCTTAGCTCGCTGCTCGCGCTTCTTTATCCGCCAACACTCTCGCCGTTTGGCTATGATCTGCTCAGGTGTGTCGTTGGGGTCGATTTGGCGCATATTTCTGCTCCCAAAGACTGAAGAAAGAAATGGGGATTTACATCTTATGTTTCTTTGATTCATGAAATTCCTCTGGGCGTCAATCCTTTGCCTAGGTGTTTTACAACGAGCGATCCCTTTGGAAACATTAGAAATATTTACATAACTTGGAAGCTTTCTCTGTGTCTCCCCTCGCTTTCTCACGGATATAACATTATATGTGATGGCTGTCTGTGGTGTCCTATTCCCATGTGGGTTTTGTGGTATTATCCGATTTGTTTGCAGGTTAACTGTAGCTAACCTTGCTGCCCAACTTTGCAGTTTATACGTTTCCCTTTTGGCAGATGTAAAGGAGGTTTTTACCCGGGTAGGACACTGCTTCTGGACGGCTCCTCTCATCAACGACTGAGATGGAAGATGCTGAAGAATGGCGTCCCCTACAAGTCCTGCTTTCTGTGCTGTTTGCCTTGCCATCGTCATCTCACCGCTCTGTGTCTTTTCTCTCACTTTAGCCACCTGAGCTGCCTGCTTCGCCCTCTGCTCTCGCTTTTTGATCCGCCATTGCTCTCTGCGCCTGGCTGCTCTCTGGTCCTCTGGCTCCATGACAGAGTGTGAGTTGCTAACACCTTTAGCCCTCTGCGTGGTGACCAAGGCACTCTCTGTTCCACTCTGAGGTGTCGCTGTTTGGCCCTCTGTTTTAATAGAAACCGGGACACATGGAGAAGACACAATAATCATACCTGTGGTCACACTGGGGGGTGAGAGTTTGGGCTGAATGCATAATACAACTTGTGCCTCATTCTGCGTTTTTGGGACTGACGCACCCTGCATAGACACACATGGCTGAAGTTGTGTTTTAGCGGAGCTGCCGGTCACTCTGACTGGAGGCACTGAGGGGGGGTTCAGCTGGGTTTCACTGTGAGAGGTGACAGCTCTGCTCGCAGCACCCCTTACTGTAGCTACGTTGCGCCTAGCAGCTTTGGCAGGGATGGAACTTGATGCAGTGAACTGAGGCAAGACCTTGTTGAGTTCCATCGTACTGAGCCATTTCTCCTTTCTGCCAGGGGCTTCAACTGAGCTGTCCCCCACTATTTTCCCAGTCTGTGGTGCAGGAGATACGTTGACTGCTTTGTACGAGTCATCGTTACTCTGCAAAGGAGAGGAGAAAGCAGCAAAAGAGCCGGATAAAGTGGAATTCCCCGCTGCAGGGGCGTGTAGATGTACGAACTTTCCCCCTTGACTGTTGTGTGAGGAATTTCCTCTGCGCTCTGTCAGTCGGGCCCTCTGTTCTCGTTTCTTTGTTCTCCAGTATTGTCTCTTTTGGGTGAGGGTGGCATCATCATATTCCGAGGCCGGCCGGTAGCGGTGGGACGCTGAACCAGCTTTGTCTTTTGCAGTTAGCATCGCAAGCTTGGACAGCCCATCAGTTCTCGTCCAAAAGTACTGGTTGGCTATTCCCTTGTCACACTGATTCAATTCATGCCCTTAGTCGTCCCTCCATTAACATACATGGTGTCGTCCTATATGAAGCCGCAGTAGGTGTGTTGCTCTGCTGAGCAGCTGCCAAATCTCTCATCACATCGGTATGCATACGACCTGAGAAAAAAAAAGAAGTCTTAGTTGCATGTTACTTTGTCCTAATCCTGATATCAAAGACAGTGTGATCTTAGGCAACTACACATGTTCTAACAAAGTCATTGTATTTAATAGTCTTTAAAAATAAGTGAAGCATTCTGATAAAAATTACTTAAAGTTGTGTAACGATAAAATGTACGACATGAATTTGATTAGTAAGCCGTATTGAAGCACATTATCAAACGATGTATATTGTTTCCTACAAAAAGCACACGTGAACAGGTCCGAAAGCGAAAGGATTTTCAGATATTTCTCACTTGTAAAACAAAGGAATACACTACTATGTGAGTTTAGATTAGATATGACTCCCAGTTAATTTTTCATGTGGTTTATCACATTTGAAACAGTTAATATGCAATAGATTCACATATAGTTAGGATAATTGTGAAAACATTAATTTAACATGCTTACGAAGTAACTCTTGATGTATTACTAAAGAGATAAATTACATTTGGGCTCGTGCAAGTGTTTCTCTTTCCAGTGACGCTTATTTAAATGGTTACATGCAGATCAAGACAATGCACGTGTTAGCTAAAACGCCCATCTCCTATCTCACAACACGATTCCCACGTGAGACAGGCTAAATGTTTTTAGTGGCTGAATATTCAAATGTACAATTTACAACTATAAATACAAAATATCTGCAAACCACAGCATATGTGCTGATACAAATACGTCGCGTGCATGTAGCATATGTAGAGCTACAGGAACCAGGAAGGAAGCAGAGCGACACTGTCCCTTTAAATCTGTCCCTCTCTATCACAAATTATATCTGTCGAGAGCCATTTTTATTCTTTTTTCTGTGTCTATTTGATAATAAACGCAGCGAAACGACCCAGCTGACGCCTAACTAACTATACACACAGAAATACGGTGAATAAGAAGCAGCTTCCGGGCGTAAATCGAGCCTGAACGCTGTGTCTCTCTCAGGCACAATGGACAGGATCTTCCTGCTCTGTCCACACGGACTGTCTGAATGTGCTGCCTGTCTAAAAGAAGAAAACCCGCGCATTACTGTCGTAAAGCAGGCCGTTTGGAAACATGTGTAAGAAAAACATGCATACCCGATACCTTTTAGTTACACCTAACTTTCCGGGACAGTTTTTGTGAACGTTTTTGGACAGATATGTTGCCAGGACACTGCAGCTACTTTCCGCCAGCCAACCGTCCTCTGAGGCTGCCTTGACAACGCTGAAAAGTACCAGGATGTAGGACCTGGATGCGCGCGCGTGTGTATGCGTGTACTATACGTTGGACACACAGAGACAGCACAGTGAAACGCCCCCTTCTTTTCAAATCCTAGCAGAGAAATTAAAGCCTATCAATATAAAAAATGGTGACTTATCTTGCATGCATTAATTACAACCAGCCTGTCTTGCTTGTTAGGCCTAAGCTTGTTTTACTTCAATATTTAGTGACATTTGGAACAGTAGCCTACATACATAACCAATCTAAACAGCATCCAGAAAATGCACAGTGATTACATAAACAGGCAGTCACATATAGTCTTTACCAACTTGGAGCAGCTGCTGGACAAAGGTCCATTGATTTATTGGCTTTTTCTACAGATGACCTCGATTCGTGAGCAGAGCCATCAGGGATAGGGCCACAGTGCGATTTATGGTTGGAATATTATAATAATAATATAGGCTATCATACCAAATGTACATCATTGATGGGCTTAGCAGTAGGCCTACACACATCTCGTCATAAATCCAAATCTATTGTCAAGGGAATCTAAAACTAACATCTAAATTATAATAATTTAATTCCAGTATGAATTGAATAATTACAAATAACGTCAAAAAATAGGGCTGATACAATTATCCATTATCTATTTAGACGAACTGCAGTTGATTTGAGTAACATCAAACTGTTACAAATGTTCACTGTTCAGCTTCTAGCACATTTGCTGGTTTTCTTTGTCCTCTGAGAGAGCCAAATGAATGGGATTGGTCTACTGTTCAGACAAAACACGCCATTTGAATATTTCTGAGTATGTCAATTGGCCCTTGATTAAAGAACAAATTAATGACTTTAGCAAATACTGGGTATTTTTCTTTAAACAGTTAGCTGCAGCGCTATTTATAATCAAGCAAGCTATTATCTAGCATACCCACAATATAGCTCATTAAACACTAAACACAGGATTTCATTTAAAAACAGTATCCTTCAGGGGATCACCAGCACAACATATGAGCTGGAGCTCATCATGGGGCCCTGATTCCCCATGGACCCGCCTCGCGTTTTTAACCGATGCTCTGCCGAACCAAAGCGCTTCTGTCATCGCTTGGTTTTGTGAGAACAACCGCATTAGTATTAGCAGCTTATCAGTATTAGCGCCTGCTGCTACGTTTGCCCCCCCCCCCCCCCCCCCCCGGGTGGGTGTGCATTGTCGACGCTGCTACTGTCTCTTTAAATTTACCCAGGAGCCCCTTAAGGAGCCCCAGGGGCCCCTAGTCCGGCTCCCCACCCTGAAGACAAGCAAGAGCCTTAAAATACATTACTGGAGGCCTTCACCGAGGCGCCACCACACAGCGCAGCGCGGAGGAAGTGGATTTCCAGCGGAATACATGACTGTGTGATTTTATGAAAAGTTAACTTGGCTCCCGTGCGGGGCGCGTGGGGGACATCGTAGAGCACGGGCTCCTCCGCGAGCGCTTGCTGCCAGATGCGTGTCGAGCGGAGCCGAGCGGTGTGAACATGTCACTGTTGTAACATGTTGTTTCAGTGTGACATGTCCCGCTTCTGCGCTGCCTCACAGTGAAGAAGGAGGAACAGCAGCCACTATTAAACAGCGGCCAGGCCAGGGATGGAAGAGAAAGAGACGGGGGAGAGCGAGCCTGTGGACCTCCGGTGTGCCGAGCAGGCTGAGCTGCTCTCATTAATAATAAGCGGGGAGGAGGAAGCGACGCGAGAGGAGAGTGACTTGGGAGGTAAAGAAAAAACCTGGGGTTATTATTCTTGGTGTTTCTCACCGCAAAGTGGGACTGCGTGGCTGTCAGAGCCACGGCCATTGTCAGACAGCCAGTTAATCCGTGTAGGGACAATGCCATGGAGCAGCATGGCCCCTCCGTCTCTGTGGCTCCTATAAACAAAGGCTCAACAGCACGCAGGCAGGCGCAACAAGGCACTCGGGCGCCACCTAGTGGAGAGCACCGGTACCGGCAGACTCATACCAATGGATACACAATCATAATATGGGTTATTATTGGAATACATAATCCATATTATATGTTATACCGGCAGTGGCTCAGTCAGTAGGGGCTTGGACTGTGAGCCGTAGGGTCGCCGGTTCAAGTCCCCGAATAATGGAGTGTGGACTGCTACTTGGAGAGGTCCCAGTTCACCTCCTGCCCTGCTGTGGTGCCCTTGAGCAAGGCACCGGACATCCCCCTTCCCCCCCCCACTCCCATTGCTCCCCGGGCGCTGTACAATAGCTGCCCACTGCTCCTAGTACGAGACTCCTGGTTCTAGGATGGGTTAAAAGCAGAGAACACATGTCGCTGTGTGCTGTGTGCTCTACATGCATGACCATTAGAGAGGGTTTCACCCCTCCAATTCTTCTATTCTATTCTCATGAGATTCCTTTATGTAGGACTTTAAACTCTCAATTGACTTGAACAGTTTGCAAACTGTGTTTCAAAGTTGTTTTTATAAAGAGTGATAGTACTAGAAATCCAATTGGAAAATGTCCAGCAATGACAACTGAGAATATCACATTTTAATAACATCTCTAATTGATTCTTTCTTTCTTTAAATGTGCAATTTAAATCAAGGGAGGCCTGTGAACAACCACAATCTGTGTATGAAAGAATAGTCTCACGTTAAGGTAAACTACGCAATGGCCGGGACACAGAGAATAAAGCCTGATCCAAACATGTTTTTTTGTGGCTGATACCAAAGTTGTGTGAGTGTTTATGGGTCTGATATTTTTTCTTTATAGAAGCACATAATATTTCTATTTTTAATTATTGTGAACCAGATGCTATTCATTAAGATGTACATTAACAATGCACAATTTAAACTGTGTAACAGGCCTATTATTTATTTTTTAAATGAACAACTGTGGCATTCTTGTGTGCAATTCTCACACTTATAGAAACAGTAGATGTTGTTCCTAGTATAACAGTGGTACAATAAAAGAAGAATATTAATTGTTGATGTAATTTATATCATTCTTTAATGCATAAAAGTGGTAAAATAGCCCATATTAGGAACCGGTAACAGATGAAAAGTAGAACTGGTGATCCAAACTCATGAGGTTGCCTTTTGAGATGTTTAGCCACCATAACAACATGTAGATCACATCTCTCTTGTTTCTGTCAGATGACGACAGTCTTGCCAACGGCCATGAGGAGGAGTCAGAGGCCGGCATGGTCACGCCTGTCGGGTCCCCAGGCACCAGCTACTGGAGCATCACAGAGGGCCCGGACCAGCCCCCCCTGCTCTCCCCGGCCCCCGGGCCCTCCGGACGCAAACCCAGGGTCCAGAGAGCGTCGCGCCCGGGCCTGAGCCGCATCCCCGGCCGAGACCACCGCCGCTACTACCACGAATACTGGCGCAGCGAGTACCTGATGGACTTTGACCCCCAGCGGCACGGGATGATCTGCATGGTGTGCGGCAGCTCGCTGGCCACCCTGAAGCTCAGCACCATCAAGAGGCACATCCGACAGAAGCACCCGGACTCTCTGCTGTGGAGCTCCGCAGACAAGGAGGTCATCCGCTCGGGCTGGGAGAGCCACTTGAGTCTGGGCGGGGGTCATAGGGCATTCAGTTCTGCTGCGGGACCCTCGCCTGAGGAAGAGGAGGAGCAGCTGGACTCAGACCAACACAGTGCCGGTGGGTAGGAGCTTTCTACATGTCACACTTGGTGGCAGTGTGGCTTTATGTCTTGGCATGCTGGTGTGAGAGGAGAGGGTGATGTCCTGATTCAGTCCTGATGTATAGTTGGGCCTGCAGAGGGGGGAATGGGCCTGGACGAGACTCTTCTGAGGAAGCCTGTGGTATATATTTCAGATGAAGAAAACTAAAATCACATAATTGGATAATGTTTAAAAAAGCAATCTAATCCAGCCGTTTCACATACAAGGCAAAAAAAGCCAATACTATGCTTCTTCCAAAAAAAGGCCCAAAAGTACTTATTATACTGTGTTCCTGTGCTTCTGGTCTAATCTGATATTTCCAAATAGTCAAGCAGCACTGCTTAAATAAGCTATTTGTTCTACATTCAAACCAAGGAAACACTATTGACTCCAATGCACACATCCTGTTCATCAGTTAGCTTGAGAGGGTTTGGTATGGTTCTTTTGGAATAGAGCCAGGCTAGCCCCGATTTCAGTCTTTATTCTAAGCTAGACTGAATTAAAATAAGTGTATCTCTCAAAATGTAAATGAAATACCATCAGTGCCAATGGTTTCAGGGTTTGTTTGTGTAAGTGGCAGTAGGTATCACTAAGGGAAGGAAGGAGAGAAGAACACTGCTAGCTAGCTTACACTAATAATAGGCTTTTAAAGTGTATGGTAAGAAAGGAAATGCTACAGCTCTAAAGATTCCACCTTTAACCAGAGATGGCAAAAGTACACACATCCTTTACTATAGTACAAGTACAGATACACGTGTTCAAGAATACTCTGGCAAAGATTGAAGTACTGACCTAACTTTTTTACTCAAGTAAAAAATTAAGAAATATGGGCTTTGAAATGTACTTAACTAAAAAGTAGCCATATCTACCACCTGTTTTATAGAGTCAAGCTGGTGACTGGACCTCTCTTTATATTATTAGAACATTAAAGAACTTATATTTCAAACTGTAATACTGTCATTGTCATCATCATACATACACCGGTCGTGTTTTCTGTATGACATTAGGTTGAAAAAGGCGCGCAATGATTCTAAATAATAATAACCACGCCACCAAATGCAGATCAAAACTAAAGAAGAGCCTGTTTTGAAAATGTAAGAAGTAAAGGTAAAAAGTTGACAGAAAATAGTGGAGTAAAGTACGCATACCAGAAAAATGTACTCAAGTATAGGAACAAAGTATTTGTCCTTCACTTCTTCCCACCTCGGTCTTTAACCGGACTTTCTGTGATCTTAAAGCACGACGGTCAGGTAGCTACAGCAGGGCAGAGCTACAGGGTTCAGACCTGGTTCAGACACTGGAGCAGTGTGTCCAACATACACTGACTTCATTTGAGCCACGTAGCGTTGGAGGCCAGCCCACAGGGGCTTCCTTCCTGTAAAGGCCTTGGTTTTCTGCTTTCAGTAACAACAAGTACTTCCCTTTTCATGTTTTCATGATCACTGTGGATTAGCATCGGCGTCCTCTAACCCCGTCGTGTGAATGTAGCAGTTACATTCAAAGAGAATTACTGTGCATCAATCCCACTTGAAATGAAATCTGAAAAGAAATACTGAAATCGGTCAAACAGGTCCATTTAAATGTTTGAACTGATCATTTCTAAGTGAATAAGTGTCTCTTCTTTTGCAGTTAAAGTGTCACCCCCAACAAGTGCACATTTAGGTCTAAGAAAAAAGGGTTTATTTTGGGGAAAAACATGTATTGTTTCATTCCAGTGTAGTTATAAGGACTTTATTTCAAATAAAATGTTCCTGTTTGATTGAAAATAAATCCCTCCCTATCTGTTTATTCATCAAATGAAATGTAGCTGATGCCTTCCCTTATTCCCACATCATTTGCTTATTTCAACATGTGTCATGTGCTCATAAAGGACGGCATGTAATCAATATGATCACGTTGTTATCTCTGTGTTCAAACGGTGAAACAGGCCATCCAAGTGTTAAGAAGGAAACTAAAGAACCCTCTGGCATTTGAAGGTAGACAACATTGCTCCTCCCCAAACAAGCTTCAAACTTAGTTTTGTTTTACATGTTCTAAATCCAGCAGAACCCCTGGAGCCTTTGACCCCCCAGGAGCAGCCTCAACAACCCCCCAGTCTGTCTCCTGGCTCTGATGAGGGTGAAGCCCCCCCGCCCCAGGAGGAGGAGCAGGAAGAGGAGGAGGGGGAGGAGCAGGACGGCCCCGGGCCCTCGGCCCAGACTCTGGAGCGCTACCTGAACGACTCGCTGCACGCCTGGTTCCGCCAGGAGTTCCTGATGGAGTACGAGGCGGAGGCAGGCCGGCTGCTCTGCATGGTGTGTGGGGGGGAGCTGCCCTCGCTACACCTGGACCACATCAAGAGCCACGTGCTGGACACACACCCACACTCCCTGGTGTTCAGCTCCGAGGAGAAGCACTGCATCCTGCAGGCCTGGGCCCAGGCTCACGGTAAGAGCACAGTCTCTGACCTATCGTCAGGATAGTTCATCCTATCATTCAGTCTTATCTGAAATGTGCTGACGTCACACACACAATCAAAGAGTCCATCAACCCTTTTTATCACTACGTATCGGGATCAGTGTTGCCCTGGTAACAGGGTGAGCCCCGTCACCCTCTTGAGTCTTCCAACACGGCCCCCACCCGACCAAAGTCCATGTCTGTTGATTTTAGGAGCATTAGCAACAATGTAACCATAAAGAGCAACAGTTCCCTCAGACCCCACCGGCACATTTGGGGTTTGAGTAGAGTAACAAAGCAGTGTTCATCCTCACAATGGAGGAACTGGACAGGCAGTATACTGTATGCCTGCCCTACACCCATGTGACACATGTTCAATGTATTTATTTAAGAGCATTTTTTGTGAATAAAGCAGTCCATCTTTTTTATATTATTATAATATATTATAATTATATTAGTAGCATAAGAATGCCTTATTCTTTTAATTGTATTATTAGTTTATTTAACCCTGCACATTAATAAACATGAACATTAATAAGGATTTATCCTAGAGGCTATTTTCCATTTAGAAATGAACATTTAAGAAACAATGTATTGCACACATGTTTGGGATATATTGTCCTACCAACTGTAGTTATTGTGAAAAGTCACTCATCTTTGTGTGTCTTCTAATCCTCATGTGTTGTATGATTCTCTGTCCCATCACAGAAGAGTCAGAAACCTCAATCAAATCAGAGCCGGACACCAAAGAGGGGGGGGTGGAGCTATTTGCTCAGGAGGTGGGGGCCCTGCAGCTCCACACGGACCTGTACCCCGAAGGCGACGGCACTTTAACTCAGGACACTTGTCTCATCGGTGAGGACGGGGGGGTAGGAGCTCCTCAGCAGGGACCCCCGCCCCCCCGGCAGCCCAGGAAGAGGCGGCTGCGCATGGGGGACCCGTGGCGGCTCCGCCTGGACTACCTGGTGGCCTATGGGCCCCCGGGCCGGGGCACCTACTGCATGGTGTGCTCTCAGGTGCTGCAGGAGATCAAGGTGAGCAGCTTTCGCAGACACATCCAGGAGTGTCACCCCGAGACCACCACCCTGAGCCGGGGGGAGAGGGAGGCCATGGCCGCCGCCTGGACCAAAGACTACCCCAGCGAGGGCTCGCACATTCAGAACGGTGTGTAGGATGTTTTTATTTGATCGTGAATATTCCCCTTGAGATTCAGAACGTGTTTAAGTTGGGTACATCGATACTTTAGTTATCCAAATGGTTTTGTCACAGCAGCATTTTGACAGTCAATGTACAAGAATTGCAACATTTCTTAACAATAGAAACTAATTAAATAAACATCAAAAGCAATATATACATATTCACATTGAAAAGACATATATTCAGAAGAGAATCTATAGCAGTATAACCTTTAGAGTCTATATCAAATAAATGAATTATTATTATAACAAACAATACAGAATATATAATTATTATTATTATTTACTAGAAACAATAGCAGCAAGAAATTGAATGTTAAACTATTAAATGATACAAATGAATATATAGCTCCAACAAATATCCTACTATAATGATACAATTAGAGCTATAGCCATGATGCTGAATTCACCATGTGAGTTGGCAAACAAAAGTATGGAGGTTTCATTTTGTGTTTACCTACAGCCTACCTACACATTCCTCGTACATGTAAACCTACCTGGTAATAAACCTGTTTCTTATTCTGAGCCAGAGGTGGGAGAAGTACTCAGATCTTGTACTTGAGTAAAAGTAGAAGTACATGAAAGTGTTCTCAAAGCTGGTGAAGGTGCAGCTAGTTTGAATGACTTTGTATACTGCAGGGTAGCTGGTGGATTTACTCCAGGTGGAACTAAAGGTATTAAATACATGTAGTGGAGTAGAAGTACACCATGTACCTCTGAACTGTAGTGGAGTAGAAGTACACCATGTACCTCTGAACTGTAGAGGAGTAGAAGTACACCATGTACCTCTGAACTGTAGAGGAGTAGAAGTACACCATGTACCTCTGAACTGTAGTGGAGTAGAAGTACACCATGTACCTCTGAACTGCAGTGGAGTAGAAGTACACCATGTACCTCTGAACTGTAGAGGAGTAGAAGTACACCATGTACCTCTGAACTGTAGAGGAGTAGAAGTACACCATGTACCTCTGAACTGCAGTGGAGTAGAAGTACACCATGTACCTCTGAACTGTAGAGGAGTAGAAGTACACCATGTACCTCTGAACTGTAGAGGAGTAGAAGTACACCATGTACCTCTGAACTGTAGTGGAGTAGAAGTACACCATGTACCTCTGAACTGTAGAGGAGTAGAAGTACACCATGTACCTCTGAACTGCAGTGGAGTAGAAGTACACCATTTACCTCTGAACTGTAGTGGAGTAGAAGTACACCATGTACCTCTGAACTGTAGTGGAGTAGAAGTACACCATGTACCTCTGAACTGTAGAGGAGTAGAAGTACACCATGTACCTCTGAACTGTAGAGGAGTAGAAGTACACCATGTACCTCTGAACTGTAGAGGAGTAGAAGTACACCATGTACCTCTGAACTGTAGTGGAGTAGAAGTACACCATGTACCTCTGAACTGTAGTGGAGTAGAAGTACACCATGTACCTCTGAACTGTAGTGGAGTAGAAGTACACCATGTACCTCTGAACTGTAGTGGAGTAGAAGTACACCATGTACCTCTGAACTGTAGTGGAGTAGAAGTACACCATGTACCTCTGAACTGTAGTGGAGTAGAAGTACACCATGTACCTCTGAACTGCAGTGGAGTAGAAGTACACCATGTAGCTCTGAACTGTAGTGGAGTAGAAGTACACCATGTACCTCTGAACTGTAGAGGAGTAGAAGTACACCATGTACCTCTGAACTGTAGAGGAGTAGAAGTACACCATGTACCTCTGAACTGTAGAGGAGTAGAAGTACACCATGTACCTCTGAACTGTAGAGGAGTAGAAGTACACCATGTAGCTCTGAACTGTAGTGGAGTAGAAGTACACCATGTACCTCTGAACTGTAGAGGAGTAGAAGTACACCATGTACCTCTGAACTGTAGAGGAGTAGAAGTACACCATGTACCTCTGAACTGTAGAGGAGTAGAAGTACACCATGTACCTCTGAACTGTAGTGGAGTAGAAGTACACCATGTACCTCTGACCTGTAGTGGAGTAGAAGTACACCATGTACCTCTGAACTGTAGTGGAGTAGAAGTACACCATGTACCTCTGAACTGTAGTGGAGTAGAAGTACACCATGTACCTCTGAACTGTAGTGGAGTAGAAGTACACCATGTACCTCTGAACTGTAGTGGAGTAGAAGTACACCATGTACCTCTGAACTGTAGTGGAGTAGAAGTACACCATGTACCTCTGAACTGTAGAGGAGTAGAAGTACACCATGTACCTCTGAACTGTAGTGGAGTAGAAGTACACCATGTACCTCTGAACTGTAGTGGAGTAGAAGTACACCATGTACCTCTGAACTGTAGTGGAGTAGAAGTACACCATGTACCTCTGAACTGTAGAGGAGTAGAAGTACACCATGTACCTCTGAACTGCAGTGGAGTAGAAGTACACCATGTACCTCTGAACTGCAGTGGAGTAGAAGTACACCATGTAGCTCTGAACTGTAGTGGAGTAGAAGTACACCATGTACCTCTGAACTGTAGAGAAGTAGAAGTACACCATGTACCTCTGAACTGTAGAGGAGTAGAAGTACACCATGTACCTCTGAACTGTAGAGAAGTAGAAGTACACCATGTACCTCTGAACTGTAGTGGAGTAGAAGTACACCATGTACCTCTGAACTGTAGAGGAGTAGAAGTACACCATGTACCTCTGAACTGTAGAGGAGTAGAAGTACACCATGTAGCTCTGAACTGTAGTGGAGTAGAAGTACACCATGTACCTCTGAACTGTAGAGGAGTAGAAGTACACCATGTACCTCTGAACTGTAGAGGAGTAGAAGTACACCATGTACCTCTGAACTGTAGTGGAGTAGAAGTACACAGTAGCAAAGAATGGAAATACTCAAGTAAAGTACAAGTGCCTCAAAATTGTACTTGAGTACAGTACTTGAGTAAATGTACTTAGTTACTTTACAACACTGGCTACAGCGTTACCTCTCTCTGTTTCATCAGAAACCCCCCCGAGTGAAGCTGAGGTCCTGAACCCCCCGGGAGAGACGGACGAGGACAGCCCCCCCGATGTCAGGACGCACGGCAAAGTGATAAAGAAGGAGGAGGGCGTGAGCGCAGCCAAGAGTAAACCCAGGGAGGAGGGCGCCGCGGGCCCCCCTCCACGTCACAGCCACTACCCCGGCAAGGACCAGCGCAGGAACTACCAGGTGCGCTGGAGGCGGGACTTTCTGATGGACTACGACTGCCGGAGACACGGCCTCACCTGCATGGTGTGCGGCGCCACGCTGGCCACGCTGAAGGTCAGCACCATCAAGAGGCACGTGCAGCAGGTGCACCCCCACTCCCTGTTCTACAGCGCCCAGGAGAGGCAGCAGGCCCTGCTTAGCTACAGCCAGACGGCCCCCAGCTTCACACACTCAGAGGACTGCTGCTCCCCCCAGGACCACGGCCCCACTCAGCCGGCCCCCGCCACAGCACACTCTGGCACTTAGAAAGGGCCTCCGTCCGTCGCTACTCGCGTGGCCCCTGGTCAGAAACAGCCCTCCCTCTTCTTTTTAACCCTGCTGTCGTGTTCGTTCCCTTACTTTGGTGTTCCTGGTCAAATGGGACCTGTCTGCTTTAACTGCACTTACATTAACACAAAAACTTACCACCAAATTGTATTTAACACCCTATTAATCTTTAAACAATGTCTCAGACAGGTTTACATGAATAACTGCAGTGAGTATACAAAGAATAGACAGTGAAAATGTATTCCAAAATCAACATGGTTGTTGATTTGTGGAGTGTACTCTGATGGATGAACATCATCTAGGGTTATCCATTCATTTCCTATGGGGCTCCTTTTTGAACCGCAACATCAAAGTTGACTAAACCACTCAAAACTCGATGAAAGTGGTGATCAGAATTGATTGATGAAAGGAGTAGAATGGTCAGATTTGACCCAAACACACAGAGAAATGTGTTTTTTGTCGAACAGGGTTTTATTCTATTCTTGCTTTGGTCCTAATCTCTACTTTGCAGGTGCAGAGTAAAGCGTTTTGGAAAATGGACAAAATCTGAGAATAACACTAAGGTTGACAAATACTGCAATTGTCCCTTTTTCCCCCTTCTTTCAAAATGTTGGTACTAAAGGGGCAGGTAGGAAATGTCACAACCTTAAAATATCACAACCTTAATGTCATGGCCTAAAAAAAGAAAGTCCGGTTCAGCTCTATGTGAACCTTTTTAGATTTAGTAATAAATTATAATACAAATGATGTAACAAAAACCCTTTCTCACGCCAGAAGCTAGATGAACCCTCTAAATGTGTGCCCAAAATGATGGTAAACCTTTCAAAAGGAGCTGGGTAATTATCCCAGCAGAGGAAAGAACAGCAAGGGGGAACCAAGATTGAACATGACCAGCACTCACCTGCCTAGTGATGTAGGAGAGCCCAGAGTCAAATAAGGTCAATCATTTGTACTCAAATAACCTGACAGATTACACATGGCATCTGATTAAGAAAACAGTTGACCTCCGCTACTAGTACAAATCACATGAAATCTGAAGGCCTGCGGTCAAATAGACACAAATAAATGTTTTTTTCTTGGCCTGATGGCATTTACCATCAAGCTCAAGAAGAAATGTGAAAGAGAATTCATAAAAACTTAATAAATGAGGCAAAGACAGAGCGGTGTTCAGAGGCACTGACATTAGCCTACATGCTAATGTGACAGCTGTATGTTGGTTAGCATTTAGAGGATTCAAACCGCTCTTATCATGGCTTCCACTCAGATACATCCGGGGAAATTCCATTTGGAACCTTCCTAAGCAAAAACCATTTAACCGCGGCCCACACTTTGTGACGTGCTAATTTTTGGCGCTATTGTGGCCGGCTAGCGTTAGCATGTTAATGGGTAGCCATCATGCTAGCAGTTAACTCACCAGGTACAGTTTATCACCCACTCGCCCCGCAATAAGTCACTTTTCAACCAATCCATTAGTAAATCTGCTGGGTGATTTAGTGCTAAATGAACTGTGGTGAGTTTAAACACCAACAGCCAAGTTCCTTTTGATTTCCCACTAATAGGAAAAAGGGGCTTAAGGAATTCAAACTCCTGTTAGTATTTAATATTAATAGTTCATATTTTCTTCCTACAAATTGGCTTATTTGAAGTCATGGTACATGCTTACTACCTAATAGAATGTTCCAGGGCTTGTTTCTGGTCAGGGCCTGAGTCTCAGGAAGTTGAAAAGTCTTCGGTGAGGCCGAGGTGAGTTGGTTTTATGATGATGTGTCTGAAGACAACACAGCACTTTGTCCCCAAAAATGTACTTAACCGCAGCTGTCCTGTCCAGCTGAATGAGACTCTGATGTTATTGCTGAAGACAATGAATGCCAGCGTGCAGTCGCTCTATTTAATTCCTTTTTTACAGTGGAGGAGACCCTGTCTCTCATCGTTATGAGATATGTTATCTCTCCGTCAGTCACCGGCCTGCATCTTACCATCATCTACTAGCTAAAACTGCACAAAAAAAGGATATGTAAATATATGAAAAAATCGAGTTATTTTTCCTTTATACAAGCACTTTTATGCACCCTGGTTTCTACGAAGCGTGTTGGTTATTATGTCCAGTTTTTCTACTTCAATCGTGATTCAACAAAGACTTTGTCCTCTGACGGCTGGAGAGTGTTTCTTGGACTTTCACTTTGGTACTGCTTTATTTTACCTTTCACTGTACAACATGTATGCAACAGACGATGTTGAGGAATAATTTCAGCTGTCAAAGAAAGAAAAGTCATAAAATGTCACATCTTCACCTGGAAAATGTAACTCAGGGATTCTGTTTTCATCAACAACCATTTCATCCGTTATCTTTTAGAGGCGTGATACGTGTCAGCTTTGGTTGTCTAGGTGATGCTATGAAGACAGCAGAGTAGTAGGGCTACTGTTAAAGCAAACCAGGAAGTGGAATTCTATTATATTTGAGAAAGTCTGAATTTAGAAAATAAATTATATAATATAAGAAATGTGTTGTATTTTGAGAAAAATATAATATTAAAAGAAATAATATAATTAATGTAATATGTGTAATGTCAGAAGAGAATCTGAATTTGGAGGTAAAAGTCATGTTACAATTAAACAAAAGACTTATAATATCAAGCTAAACAAGTCATATTTTGAGGGAAAAGACTACATATTTTTACACTTCATTGTTTTCTTAATTCTTCTCTTAACAGTGCCCTTAATACTCTGGTGTTGACAGAATTTGCTCAGTTGAAGCTTTTGATCATGACGTGATAATGAAGGACTCTGACAGAGAGACACTGTCAGATCTCAGTCCAATGTTCCACTTTGGCTAAGAATAGCCCCCCCTGTCACTCTGGAAGAGTTCTGATATAGCACTTAATTATTTAAAAAATGAAGTAACAGTGAAATGAATGTGTGTGTGTGTGTGTGTGTGTGTGTGTGTGTGTGTGTGTGTGTGTGTGTGTGTGTGTGTGTGTGTGTGTGTGTGTGTGTGTGTGTGTGTGTGTGTGTGTGTGTGTGTGTGTGTGTGTGTGTGTGTGTGTGTGTGTGTGTGTGTGTGTGTGTGTGTGTGTGTGTGTGTGTGTGTGTGTGTGTGTGTGTGTGTGTGATGGAGTGAGAGAGATCCTCTGGCTCCTCACTTTTCTTTACTCGTCCACCCACCTTTCATTTGTACATGGCCAACGTGTGAGAAAGCATTCTCTCCTCCGTGATCTTTGAATAAATACTCAACACCACGACGCTGCTGGGACCTCGTTTCTCTTTTCATTCTGTTTCTGGCTTCTTAAATCGTATCAGAGGGAATGGCATTCCTCTGCTAGAGCTTGGGTCCTTTCACTTCCTGTCAGAGGCTACTGGAACAGGAAATGAAGACATTTTCAAATACTGCTATCATCACTGAAATCAGCAGATAAACACTGACATATAAAAACTACTGTCACAATATACTGTTTATTTAGAAATACCTGTGAAATAAAGTACACCATGCAATAAGAGCCGATTACCCACAGATCAGAACTGATTTTAGACACTTAGCAACTATACTAGCTAAATATAACAAGAACAAAACTAATCCCAGTTAGAGGCAAATTAAATCAGATTTATGACCGCCCTTCTAACAATGGCTTTCTGTGAGTGACCATGATTTATGTCAACCAAAATGATCCTGATAACTCTTCATCACCTAACATAAACTACACTTTTGTAACAAAGTTTGCCTTGACAACAGATCTAGGAAAAACAGCTCTATGTTCATTTTAGGACAGCTAGAAGCTGACTGCTCTCCTCTGCACCCCCTCATCCTGAGTGTGCTGTTCATCTGCAACATAACATGCTAACATTGTAAAACTTTAAACACATTCCTTGTTTAACATTTGATAATGTCACGTAAGGCTTTAAATGTCAGACGTCATGTGACTGTTAGCATTAATGTTTTCAGTGCGCGGCCCCGTCTAAAATTAGAAACAATAATCCTTCTTTCCACCCAAACACCATTACAGTCATCGGCCTGAAGTCAAATCTTCTTCTTTTCTTTTGCATCTATTTGTATCAAATGCTTCCATTTTAAGTCCCTTAGTATTTATATGTAGTCATTTTGAGTCTCTTTGTAGTCATTTTGAGTCTCTTTGTAGTCATTTTGAGTCTTTTTCAATTGTATTTATTTTTGGAATTGCTTTGTCTTTTCGATGTTGTTTTGTGTCTCTTTGTTAGTATCGTTGTGTGTCTGTGTGTCGTTGTGTGTCTTTGTGTGTGCTTGTTGCCTCTTTGTAGTCATGTTGAGACCCTTGAATGGTCGTTGAGTCTCTTTGAAGTGGTTTTTCCTCTTGTAGATTTGTGTGGTCATCCATTTGAGTGACATTTGTAGGTAAAGGCCATGGGGTGGGGGGCTGACCCTTGAGGCCCCTGGGCCCTTGCCTACTAGGCCCTTAAATGGGCATGCATTGGAAAACATTTCCTGTATGTCAAGGCCCACCGAGTTCCATTCACACAGAGAACAGATCCACCGAGCCTCGGTCCTTTGACGTGTTTTTATTCATTTCACTTTGACATCAGTACAGAGACCACAAACATTTTTTTAAACAGTTTTCTTCTTTTTATTCCTGCAACATCTTTTCCAAAGCTTCAAAAAATCGGAACCAAAGTCATAGCTAATACAAAACAAAGCTGATGTTAGTGAACAACGTCTAGAAACCAGTATAGAGTCAGAAGCAAAACAAGACTCTCCAGAGACAAAAGAAGTCAAACACACTCCTGCCACACACGCCCATACCTGATGAAAACACAGGGACAAACAGGAAGAGGAGAAAAGCAACATGCTGTTAGGGAACAACTTGTATTCATGTTATATATTACACTCTAAAGAAATAAGCCAACTATGTGTCTTAAAGTAGTGATCTGTTAGCCTTGGTAGCGCGCTAACACAGGGAACATGGCGTCTCCTGTTCTACAGTTAAAGGTGCATACGGAAAGCTTGACCTCTCATAGCGCCTTACTTCTGGGGTCACACTGACAGGAAGCTGCTTCTACATTTAAAGGAATAGCCTAACCAAAATAGTTCAGATTTATTCAGTATCCTTGAGATTTTTGCCACCACAGTACGTTAATAGCATTTGCTGCTCACTGTGAACAGTTTTCTTGGAACTTTCAGAGAAATAGTCCCCAAAGGACATCTTCATTTTCATGGTATTGAGATGGGGGTCAGATATACAAAAACTAGCGAATACAAGAGTAACCTTGGTTCTCTGAATTCTGGGTGACCTGCAGTGATTTATTCTTTCGTAATTTGGTTATACTGCTCCTTTAAATAAACTGAATCAAAGTCAATCTAATACAAATTCAGCAGCTTTTAGCTCTTGGATGAAAATAACAACTTAAAGCTACAATATGCAACTTCTACACCATCAAATAAATTAACAGGATGCATATTAACATCATTAGTGTCAGTCCTCAGGCCTGATCTCTTTCTGTCTGCTTCTTCAGCACCTTTACAGATGCTGCTGCTTAGCTGAGCTTTGGGCTAGTTTACAGCACCAGGGCCGTAACCTGCCCAAGCCCAAGGGGGGGGCTAACAGCTAGCATCTCCAACAGAAACATTGCATATTTTGGCTCCAACGCCCAGTCTAAATGAGACGGCATGCACAAGAGGTCAACGGAGACATCTGTGAGGCGATCACAGTGAGACGACGCACAGTGGAGGGCATGCTGGGGGGGAATGTTCCAGAGAAAACATTCAGTACACAGGCAGACACAGTAGATGTTACTGCATTGAGAGGCTGTTGACTATTCAGTATTCAGGGGACATTTACTCCGTGCAAACCTATTTTAGGGAGTAATGAAATGGACAGCAACACAAACATACTGGTCCTTTCCTTCTATATATGCATCCCTTAAAACAATATGAAGAGCAGTAGTGCTAACATGACTATGGCTTTTACTGAGTTCAAAAACACCATTGAAACAGTCACAAGTAATAATCATATTAAACAAAAGTCAGGGTCAAGAATATGATACAGCCTATATAAGGGTGAGAATCTGTTTCCAGCTTACACTACGACATGCGCGTCATGGCAGTCAAAAGAAACAAAAACAGTGACAAACAGCTCTATAATAATCACGCCAAACCCAAACCGCGTCCTTAAATCCCAGCTACACTCTTATTTCAACACTGCACCCCATCATTTAGTTTCACAAACCCCTGCTCTCAGTGTCCGCTCAGGTCACTGCAAGATTTTGTACGGAGGGTAAATTGTGCCAAAAAATTGCAGTAGTTCAATTATAAAACGTTAATGAATTGACACATTTCCAAAAGCTTTTACAAATCCAGTTTTAAATGTAAATGTCATACTTGAAAAAGGTATCAATTTGCTCAATTTATTTTTAATTTAATTAGGTGTGAAAGTTCTTATTCTTCACCAAAACATGTTTTAAACTTATCTCCCAGCCATTAAACCTCAGGAGGAAGTGATATATATTGGATCTTTTGATGAAACACTGTAAAAGTCCATATATATTTTGATGGCACACTTTGTACTCCATAGATTTAAAACCCCAACAGCTATCGGAGAAGCTTTTTTGAGATGTAAGGGTGTGCCAACACATCGGAGGTGTCTCTTAACTTATCCAACAATCATGAATCATTTCTCTGGAGGCCTCACAAAAACCTCCAGTTAAAAATGATGAAGCTCAATGACACTTAACATAACTCTACAATGCTGTTGTCAAGCTACAAGAGAGTCAAAAGCAGCCGTCCTATAATCAATATTAATAATAGTAATAAGATTAATACAAATTTAGAAGCGAATGTGAGACCTCGACACTGTGGCTTTAACCGGTGCGAGAAAAGAAGTTAGGACTGCTGTAAGTGAGGGAACTTTATTTGATATAAAAAGCCAGGCTAACGTGTTCCATACAGCAGAGCCTGTCTTCAGGTGTATGTACAGAAAACTGTTCAGGAAATGCATCTGATCAAGAGGGTGAACTAGACCAAATTATCACAGCTGGCTCAGTGTTCCAATCCTTTTATTTCAACCTGCTCATGGGTTAAAAAAAGAAATTCAGTGCATTGCAGAAACGTACAAACACAAGAGCCTGTAAGGTGAATAACTCTATAACAGGCCGACCAGCTAACCCATTACCAGCCTCTAAATGAACTCATATCTATCCACATAACATCTGTAGAGCAAGAGAGCAGGATACGACTAGCCACAATTACACCCAAAATATTGGTTTATTTCATGTTTTTGAATTTTCTTCACTTTTCTTTCTTGAATGATCCATTAACCTTTAGGGAAATGTGTGGGGTTTAAAGTACAGACATTTGCTTTTTTGTGATGTCCAGCCATCATCCTCCCCCTGCTCGCTGTACACGACAAAACCAGGTCATAGATTCAGTCTAGTTCATTCGACCCTGCCCACATTGCCCACAAACGGGGGGGTCCGCCGGGCGCTACATCACTTCCTGTCTGCACAGGCACAGTTCTTTTTAATGCTTGCAAATTAAGCTGCGCAGTAGTTTAGCATAGAGTATTCAGTAGTAGTAGCTCAGAGATATTTTCTACCTAGCAAGGTTCAGTGTAGTAGGGGGTGATGGTTGATGGAGGAGGAGTTAGACTGGGGGGAGGTACAGGGAGGGGGGGTCTAAGATGATGTTGGTAATGAGGATGATGGTGACATGGAGGTTTCTAATTGGTGGGTTGATCATTCAGTTTTGCTGCGCTTCACAGCTCCCGGAAGCTTCTCTTGCAACCTGAGGAGGAAAGAAGAAGAGCGGGTCAAAAATGTGGGAACAGGAAACCGATGATCTAGAACGGTGGCTCCCAACCTCAGGATGGCAAGGCATTTTCCATAATAAGGTCTGTTCGACTGCTTAAAAGGAACATATTTAAATAAATACTTTTCCTATATGTCAGGATTTTATTCATTTTTGTTCAGAAAACTAAACAATAGTGTCATTTTTTGTTTGGATTTGATGAGGTAGAAAAAAGAATCCTCTTAAGTATGTATGACTTTTAAAACAAAGAAACAAACAATAGACAGTCAATTGTATTAAAAGTGTACAGGTACACCTATCTCTGATTCAATAATCACAGGCTGTAATCAGTTCCAAATCTTCTCTAAACATCCTGAACTTACTGTGTTCTATATTTGGGTTGATTATACACTTGTTTTAATTGTTGTTATGCACTGAAATATCCACAACACATGTCATTCAATGTAGTCGGAGGTCTGGAGTTTACTCAATGGAGGAAGGTTAAAGTGTTGGGAACCACTGATCTAAAACACACACTCATTACTGATGCTTAAATTCACTTACTTGGCCATCGTGGTGTTGACTTGAGTGCGGACCAGGTCGATGTACTGATCAATCTGGGTCTGAGGGCAGAACACATGAGAGGGAAGGTGAGCATCATTCTGGGAAAATAATCATAATTTCCATTGCATCCATCTGTCCTGTGAATACATTGGGATCCCCAAGCAAAGGCAATAGAGTGGCTGAATGTGAAGCCTACTGACCAGCTCTGAATCAGCTGAGCCTGAGTGAGGCGGTGCGTTCAGGAGCCACAGCTAATGCTATCATCCGGTTTCTGGGGTCATTGCCCCCTTTAATGTACATGAAATCCAAAAATGTGCACTCCAGCTTCTTTTGAGGTTAATACTTGAAACTCAGCATGGATAACAATCTGAGAGGTGGGAGAAGTACTCCGATCATGTATTGAGGAAAAGTAGAAGTACCAGAGTGTAGGAATACTGTTACAAGTACAAGTCCTGCAATCAAAATGTTACTCAAGTAAAAGTAGTCGTTGTGCAGATTGGTACATTTCAGAATAATATATATGATATGTTTTATAATGATTGATCATGAAAGTGTTCTCAAAGCTGGTAAAGGTGCAGCTAGTCTGAATGACTTTGTATACTGCAGGGTAGCTGGTGGATTTACTCCAGGTGGAACTAAAGTCTGATTTAACACTTGATTAGATTTCACATCATTCATCCACATCTGTGAAGTAACTGAAGGGA